TGTCTGTCTATCTGGTCTGTCTAACTATCTGGTTTGTCTATCTATTCGGTTTGTCTGTCTATCTATCTGGTCTGTCTATCTATCTGGTCTGTCTAACTATCTGTCTGTCTATCTATCTAGTCTGTCTGTCTCCTAATCTGTCTGTCTATCTGTCTGTGTGTTTGTCTGTCTGTCTGTCTGTTTGTGTGTCTGTCTGTCTGGTCTGTAAGTGGATGAACCAGAATCAAAGTCTGTAAGTTCAATGACGTTTGTCTGTCTATTTGTCTGTCTGTCAGTCTGTCTGTCTGTCTGTCCGGTCGTCTGCTTGTCTGCCTGTCTGTGTATCTGTCTGTCCGTCTGTCTGTTTGTCAGTTTGTTTGTTTGTCGCCTTGTCTGGTCAGTCAGTCAGTCAGTCAGTCAGTCAGTCTGTCTGTCTGTCCGTCTGTCTGTCTGTCTGTCTGTCTGTCTGTCTGCCTGCATGTGTGTCTGGCTGTTTGTCTGTCTGTTGGTTGTCTGTCTGTCTATCTGTCTGTTCGTCTGTCAGGTTGGCTAGTGCGTGCCATACACTGACCACACATGTCCGTTGTGACTTCAAATGGCACGCAGTAGCCAACCTGAAGTCGGACACGCTAACACATGCACAAGCAAACACGCATAATAAATACACACACACACACAAACATATACAGAAAGATACACACACACACACACACACACACACACACACACACACATTCTGGCATGCACCCTTTAAGTTGGCTACTGCGTGCCAGAAACTGACGAATGATGACCATTGCGACTTTAAATGACACNACACACACACACACACATTCTGGCATGCACCCTTTAAGTTGGCTACTGCGTGCCAGAAACTGACGAATGATGACCATTGCGACTTTAAATGACACGCAGTAGCCAACTTGGGAACAGACACAAAGACACACGCACAGACCATTCATACACACACATCCATAGACATATACACAAAGACACACAGACATCCACATAGGTTCATACATAGACGCCACACACACACACACACACACACACACACACACACACACACACACAACACACACAGACACACACACACACACATTCTGACATGCACCCTTAAAGTTGGCTACTAAGTGCCAGAAACTGACGAATGATGACCGGTGCGACTTCGAATGACACGCATTAGCCAACTTGGGAACAGACACGAAGACACACGCACAGACCATTCATACACACACATCCATAGACATATACACAAAGACACACTGACATCCACATAGGTTCATACATGGACGCCACACACACACACACACACACACACACACATATCGATGACGTCATTGTGCGTTTCCGCCGACAGAGAGAAGAGGATGAAATACAAACTGTACGCATCATGTCGATGTCAGTAGCACAGGTGGAGGCTGCTCTTGCAGACGTAATGAAGTATGCAACAGTGAGCGTCCACTACAACGGTGACAGCGAGTTGTCTTTGCTTCAGGACAGGGTGCCGAGGTACTTCATAGTCCTTGTGGATATGAGATCCACGATCATGGCAAACGGCGAGGGTTGTGTCATAGCACGAACACTCTTGCAACGCTTCAGAGAGTCACCACATGTACGTGTGGACAACGATGTGGAAGACAGTGCATACAGTCTAAAAGGAGTGGTCCAGTGGATGTGCAGCGAAGGGATGTGCGAAGAAGGAGACGTGGACATGACAATGCAACAGAAAGGGGGGACATATAGACCTGCGAATTTCAAGAAGTTGCTGGCCACTGTGGCACGGAATGGGGGAATGCTGGTTGATGGGTCGAAGGACGAGTTGAAGAGTGGTGCTGCCGAAATCTTGGTGTTGTCCAGAATAAAGGATATTACACAAACACCGCCAGAAGACTTTCAAGATGTTCCTGACATTGTTGCAGATGGTGTGAAATATATTCTGCTGGATCAACTTGTGGACTTCATGAAAAAGAGTGTTGACGACAGGAACGTCATCCATGAGGCATTGCACGAAGTCACAGAGTTTGCACTGCAGGGTCAAGATCTGATAGAATTTGTGCCAGCAAGAACAGAAGACAACATCATATCTGGCAGACCGTTGTGGGGGGGGTTATTATCAGCTGCTTTGGAGCGGCTCGGTCTTGCAAGTTGTGATGTTCAGAGACAAAGAGAAAAAGAAGAAGGGTGGAAGGTGATTGTCAGGGAAATAAATTTAGCAATCATTCCAGACAACGGACAGACATCAGCAGCACAAGAATCAATAACCAGTATGGCAGCCGATGTGTTTCCCATGCAGACAATAACGAGAGAGAAGCTAGTGTGTTCCGATATCTTCAATGATTTCACAATGAAAAAAGAACAGTGTGATCGTGGATTTGAACAGGCCGATTTGCCAAGTTGTTGTGCAGAGTACACAGACAGTGTAGAAAAAGAAGATGAAGAAGAGGATGAGGGGACATCATCTTCTGACGTGGAAGTGAGCGGCAACGATGTCAGCAGCGACGAGGAAGACGAGGAACATGATGTATACTATGATTTGAAGGGGGCGGGTGGACAAGTGACAAAAGGGTGGGCACATGCAATTCTGAGGTTGGTATGTGCTTTTCCCGATCCGCACAAAGTGCTGCGTGTTGTGATGAAGGGGGCAACACCAGATGGTGCACTACAGTATGTCGAAGTGACCAACATAATGAAATCATGCAACAAGGGGAAAAATTGGTCACGTGTTGGCAAGGGATGATTTGTTCTGGTCAATAGAGAGGTTGTGCTAGCAACGTCACTGACATGGGGAGTCAACCTGAGTTGCCTCATACACGGCACACTGGCGACAGATTGGGGAGAGACATTGCACCCCGGCTTGTCAACATGAGATGCAATAGTTAGTGCTCGGCCACTGCAGCGATCGGAGACACACCCACACACCACGACAGAATGGTTGGATATCAGGGATGATGACAGGCATGCATAGCATAGAGCAATAGAGTGGTAGTACAAACAACCAATGCACATACGTTTTGATAAGCATGGGAAGCTCAACTTGTACATCCCTCTATGTCTGCCTCAATTTCAACAACGGTCGGGTTTACTACTGCGTGCCATATCAGTGTCCACCGGTGCTGTTTGTTGGCGTTCTGGCCCGCACTAGTGAACCCCTCTCTCTCTCTCTCTCTCTCTCTCTCTCTCATATTTCGAATTGTAGCTATATTAGAACTTATACATCCATCTGCGGGTTCTGTGTCATGCTACCTGTTGTTTGTCTCTCCAAGTACATGCGGTTCAGTACAGTGTGCAGGCACAAGATTGAACAATATTTCAATCATTTGATGATTGTTACGATGTATGCCATAATTTGTTGCCTTTTGGAGTACGTGAGACACATCAGAGCCCCTGTGATGACCAATGTGTGTATGTTGTGTTTTTTTTTGCATTCTCTATAATTTAAATTCAAATGTACTAGGTTGTGAAGTGTTTTGGAAGTGTTTGCGGAGGTCGGCTGAAGTGTCGAGGTACAATCATTTTCACGCGGACATGGAAAACACATACCGCATACACAAACGTCGTGGATGGATAGTTGCGAACTTGGGCAGCCGCACAAACGTGATGATGAATGCTGTGTCATATATCGTGTACCATTCGTAAGTCGTTGCCTCTTCTTACACGACCATAGAACTTGTCATGGCATATAAATTATCGTGTCGCACGGTTGACTACTAATCTTTGTCAATTGGGATTAGCGACACACACCATTCGTACGAAAAACGACAATCAGTACTCCCTCTCTATGTCTTTCTCATAAAGAAGAGGATGTGCGACACTTACACAATATAACAGAATATGCTCTGCAACTTATAATTCAAATGACCTGAACCAATGTACAAAATGTTAATAAAAACACTGTCCGCACCGCTCTGTTCGTTTTTGGAATGCACTGCGTGCACAGAAAATGGACAGCGGTCCACGGGTGTGCGACTGTGGCAGGCCTTTCATGTCATTACGAACTTTGAACTCACATCGTGCGAGGGCATGCCCGGCCGTGGTGGACGAAAGAACACATGGGTAGGAGATGGGTGTGATCGATAACGCCGGACCATCAAGTACAGGTGCAGTGAATCTCCTGAGCGATGAGAGCGAGGACGTCGCGGCCCTCGATAATGTAGACGGGGAGGGCGGGACATTCGAAGAGCAGCAACCGCAACCTGTCGAGTCTTTTGACAGCTCTCGCAAACTGGCGGCACTGATTTTCTCCGCCAGGGCCGGCGTCGGTATGTCGCAGAGTGACATAGATGCTCTCTTGTCACTTCTCACAGACCCGAGATTCGGCACGAGAGACATTGCGTATCGTAATAGTTGAGAGTATTTGACATGGACAGGGAGTCTAGCAGAGGCTGCTGGATGGAAAAAGTTGGATCTACGTTGTGACGATTGACCACGGGATGCACACGCCATCTTGTAGCACCGCGACTGGCGAGCGACATTTCTGTCGATTTTTCATATCGCATTACAGAAATGCGAGACGGTGTCTTCTCTAGAAGTGTCTCCGTCGTCAGAGCACCTTAGTATATCCAGCCCACGCAGCGGGGCGCTAAGTTATCACATCCAGTCGATCATTCGAGCGGACAAAGGTGTGGACGGGAATGGTAATCCACGTTATGTTATCCCTCTTTCATTGTATTCCAACAAGACACATACAGACGGTCGTCAAAAACCGACGGCGTACCCTCTGATGATGTCACTAGCCGACCACGCATCCAAAGCCACACTGTTGGCCTATCGTCCTGTGTTTCGTCATCATCCACGTGACAAAGGATGGGGTCTGCAATCCACCACATTCAGAAAGCGAAAGGCCATCATTTTGCACAAGGCTCTTTCAATGCTGTTGCAGTCTGCGAAGGAGGCATCTCATGACGGAATAATGATACCGACAACGAGATTTGGGGACATAACTGTCCACCCTTTCCTCCTCAACTATATCCACGACTACCCAGAACGATGTGCGATTGCAACTGTGAAGTTTGGTGTATGTCCGACATGCACCGTGTCCAAAAACGATTTTGATTTCATAGCCGATTTCACAAACTGCAGGAGATTACAGACGCTGGAAACACACCTCACAGCAGATGTGTTCACCACCGACGACATCGACGTTCATCGTGTAGCGGAAGCACGAATGTCAGAGTTGAACATGCATAGGCATGTTCAACAGAACGGCCTTTGGGGGTTCTACAGGGGCCCCAATGGTGACGATCCTCAACTAGACTACCACCTGGCATTGCAACCAAACCGTATGCACACAATCGAGCACGGCATATTCCTGCACATGATTGACACATTCAGGACCGCAGTCTTTGAGAAGTTGCCACACTTACCGCAAACAGAAATCATGAAGAAACTAGATGCAAGGTTGCAAAGCATTAGTGAGAGATGCACGCGAACATACCCTCAACTTGTGCTGCCTGTGGCTACTGGCAGTGATTTTTTTCTGAGGGAGGGACGGTTCGAGGTGAAGCAAAACCGGTTTGTGGTGACAATATGCGTGTTCCTTATTTCTAATAGTATCACGCGCTCGACAGGCAAGGGCATTGCCGTTTGTTTTGTGAAACTGATGGAAATATGCATACGAGTGTTTCGGTGTACAACACACACTCGTGCTTCGCTCGATGAATGCGACGCTTTGATCACGGACTTCATAACGACCATCAAAGCAAAATTGGGAAAATATCAACCATCAACATGGAAACTCCCCAAGTTGCACGATCTAATGCATCTGAGAACGTGTATTGAGCGATCCGGTGTACCCGACACCTTCGCGACGGATGTTTGGGAGCATCACCACAGAAAATTCTGCAAAAAATCATACCTGTCATCAAACAAGCGGAAAACTGCAACCCAGATGCTAAACCACGTACGCCGGTCATTGGCGTTGCGCGAAGAGATCGAGATCGTAAGGAAACGGAGGAAAAGAACGATTGAGAACCGGTCGTCCGTGACAGACTGTATGGCCACCGGAATGAACACCCTCGTACTACGCGATACGACAATGTTGCAACTGCGGTGGTTCGACATCGATGACGAGTACATACGCGAGGGAGAAGGCATTGACAACCATGCGTGTAAGATACTCAAAGAGCTTCCTTGCAGACGCGATTTTCGAGTTGAGCTTACGACATACATGGTGGGAAATGGTTGTCAACCTCCTTCTGACAACCTGCTTATACACACACGGGCACACCTGACCATCGCCTGCGTACAAGAGGGAACAAACAGGGGCACACTTGTTCAAACGGCAAAAGCGTCGCCACAGTTCTAAGGGAGACCAGTGCACAGTGACGTCGCAATTAGAGCAGGCAACGAATGCGCATGGTTTGCATCAGTAACCATGTTTTTTGTCGTGGATGCACCCACGGACAACGGTAATATGGAACACAGCTGCGGATTTGTGCAATGGTACAAGGAGGTCGACAGTGAACGGCAACACGTGACGGGTTGCAAGAAATTCAAATGGGAAAAGTTGAATGGACATCAACACAGTAGCGTCATTTCGACCGACACTATGGTAGACACAATTCACATTGTTCCGCTCTTCTCTAAACCACAATGGGGACCGAAGCAACATGCAAAACAGCGTGAGGATTGTTTTTATTTGAACAAGTACATATTGTAGAAGAAACAAATGCAAAGTTTCTACGTTTGCTTTGAGAGAGAGAGAGAGAGAGAGAAAGGCGTCGTAACGCCCTTCATCAGAAGTTTGACGAATTTTGTATATTTGTGTATCTGTCGTCGCCACGGGACAGTCATGTTGTTTCTTCCGAAGTATAGGGGAACAAGAGAGGACATTCGTCTTTTTCTTTTTGTTATTTGTTGAGAAATATCATCTCAAATGTGGCCAAGCTTATGAAGCGGTAAAAACCACATGCGAGACGAAAGTGTCCTCAAAAGTTCACTACTGCGTGACATTTACTTGGTCAACAGTGACATCGTTTCAGTTTTGGCACGAAGTAGCCAACCTCTCTCTCTCTCTCTCTCTCTCTCTCTCTCTCTCTCTCTCTCTCTCTCTCTCACACACACACACACACACACACACACACACACAAGTATCCTTAAAAAACGATTTCAAGTTGTTAAAAAACTTAACAAATCGTCTGTGTCATTCCATTTTGACCGACACGTGTGAACAGGAAAAGAAACTTACGACGTTGCGCATCGTTCGGGAAGGAGCAACACAGAACACTAAATTACAAGGTGCAGGTAAGAGAAGTCGGGCGAGGATGACAGCATCACAGAAAAGTAACACGTGTGGTGGCGGCACGAAGTGGTCATATGTGGGTACAAAACCGCTCACCGGTCCAAGGATGAAAAATAAAGACGAAGAGCACCGCAGAGAGGTGGCAAGCGAACCGTTGTTGCAATTGACCAGTAAGAGGTCAACAAAGAGGTGGCAGAAAATGTTGACGGACCCTTGGTACGCGGAAATGTACGACATAATGACAGAGAGTAAAGCAAAGTATCCCAGTTGATAATCGAAGAGTCATCCGACATCAAGGGAAAAGCGAAAGTCGAAGACATGACAAGAACGAGAGAAGAGCAGACTGACATTAATGATGAGGGAAAATTGTTCTCCTTCACGTAGAAATCAAAGACACACGCTATATCAGTAACAAAATTCGACGTTCTACGATTGACCGACAACGAATGGCTGAACGACAACATTATCGACATTTGTTTGCAGTCTCTGTATGAAGAACAGTCGCCGCCACGGGGCAGTGCAATAGTCCATGTCTGCACAACTTTCTGGCACCCCGAGGTCATTGGCAATCTGTAAGTGCATTTGATGAAAAGCGGATGGAAGGACGCAATCAAGAATAGACCACGGAAGTTGCATCGACTGAGCAATGAACTGCGGTGCGCGACAGCCACTGTAATACATGTGATCCAGAACAAACATTGGATTCCTCTTTTGTTGCTCAATGTCAGATCCTTCTTGGCAGTCACTCACGGCAGCCATGTCTACGAACCTCCTATCGCCATCGTTGTTGACTCCTTGAAAGGGAAGAAGCGAGAGGAATTGAAGATCTTGCGAACATTTCTGTGGCACGAGTACCTCTACAAGGCATCCAACTCGGGGGTGTTGACACCGAAAAAGGTTTAAACGTCATAGGTGACATGTAGAGATCTACCAGGAAGTAAATTTTTGCATGCAGAATGCCCGCAACGGAACAATTACACGGACTGTAGTGTCTATGTGTGTTGCATCGCTGGCACTGTAATAGAATTTCTTGCAAGAACTGCACCGAAGGATGTGAGAGTCAAGGACGCACTGGAAGCTGTTAAAAGAACAACGGTGAACGAAAGAACTGATCACCAATTTCGCCAGTCTACGGTGGACCGGCTCGCTCGCTGTGCTGCAGTTACAAAAGGCAACGGCACGGTCGCGGCCTCACACATAGCGACTGCGTTGAGATGCATCATAAACAGAAGACAGAGCAACACTTCATAAGCCTCGAATTGCTGTTGAGCTCGTCAAAGGACGATGCGAGGAAAGTTCACTACTGCGGGCATTTGTTACGTAAAGACCAGTGGCTTGACCAGTTGATTGGCCCGCAGTAGCCAACCTTCTCGCGGTGATGGCTGGGGACATCTTTCAAGTTTTTCTTTGCTTGTTTTTTTTTTTTTTTTTTTTTGTGAACCCGTGCCGCCTGACAATACAGATACAGTCATTGTGACGCACAAAGACGTTGGTAACTTAAATGACGTCGCAGTATCAATAATAAGATCTTGGTTGTACCTCTCTCTCTCTCTCTCTCTCTCAATGCGGCCTTTACACTTCAACGGTGTATGGATCGACGCACGCCATTGCTGACGCAATTGTTGTTCGTATTCCACTTTGATGTATGTAGGGAAAAAAAAGGTTATGGCTCCAAGACCAAAATACGAGGATCCGTGCAGGTCTTCGAAGGCCGTGGGAAAAAATGACAAGGGGAGGAAGAAATGCAAGGCTGATAAGAAAAAAAAAATGAGAGAGCATCGCAGAAGCGGATCCCAGAATGCAAAAACGGAGCGGACCAGCAGCCGCAGAAACGGATCAAAAGTTTCTTTCTCATCAAGTGAGAGGGAGATTTCAAAGTTGAAAGAACGCAATAAGTCAACCCCTGCGACTCCTGCCCCATGGAACCGTGCGAGCAGCGTCGAGAACCGTCCACCGAAGGCCCCCGAGAAGAGGTCGCGGAAAGACGGAATGTCAAAGGTGCACCGCAAGACAAAGAAGAGAATCACATAGAGAGGCTCGGACAATATGCAGAGCGCGGTCCGAGAGGAAGCAGAAGATGAACATGACCAGTCCATATCAAAAAGTCTGATGGGGAGGAGAACGAGGCAATAAGTGACGAGGGAGGTGACAGTGAAACTTCCGACGGAGATTCTCGCGACACTCACTGCGCTGATGACGAGGACGGTAGGAGCAGCGACGACACAGCGCAGGACGAGGGTGGTGACGGTGCAGGCGAAGACGACAGAAGCGTGGACGGAAGAGAGAGTTCCCCGTGTCCGGGAAGGACGCGACGCACAAGGGAACTCGAAAGTGGTCGCGAGGGAGGCGCAACCGACGCGCCCTCGATTGACAGACAAATAGTAAGGCACGACAACGCGGTTCAAAAAGGTAAACAAAATGTGCTGTAGTTGCTCCTCTTGCACACCGATTACGTGGTAACGGCGCAAAGTGATGGCATTTCCTTAATGCGAGGAAGTCGTTGTGATGAACGAACAGTTGAAACGGGCTGTTGAATTTCGCAGGTGCGAAAATGGGTGTGAAATTTCGAGTTCTAAATATTATTCCATGCGTTGTAACGTATGTCTTTTAGCAGATGGCACGAACTCGCAAAGAAAAGTGTGTGCGAGTAGGGGAGGACAACAACAAGCCAAGCAAGAAAGCAGCGTATTCTCGAAGAAAATGAAGGACAGACTGTTCCGGTCGGTCGCAAAAGCCTTTGCGTTCTCAGCAGCAAAGGACGCAACTCTATACCCAACAGAGGATGATTTTTTTACGGCGCTGCAAATAACGGTCAAACTGATAGGGGAGAACGCGGAGGAAGGACTGCGATCACACGTAGCGGAGTGCGGGATTCGAGCAGTCATAGGGGAGTGCAACAGAATGATGACAACCGTGCGTGGAGAGATAACATGGCAACTGAAACACTGGTTCTGGGCTGAAAAAGTAATCATGCTTGTACGATCGCAGCAAACAGATCACCAGCTCCCTACTCGCAACAAGATGCGAGCAGAGATGAAGGAGAAGAAAAAGTGGAGATGGAGCGACGACGGTCCTTGGGGCGCCCCAGCCTTCAAGACAACACTCACCAAGATTTTCCAGATGAGGAGGGACGACGTAAACCTTGGCGTCACCCTGCAACAACTGACTTTTGCAGAGATGGTTCTACAAGGTGAAATTGAGCAGACAACAAAAACCAGTAGAGCGGCGGAGCAGATAGGAAAATTGGTCTCTATAAAGCAGAACATCGCATCATCTGTCCGCAGCCGCGATATAGTCATGAGTTTTTCGATCTTCAAGCTGGACCGTGCCGTATCTGTTGCTAAGAAGGTTGCTGCGCTATTTCGAGTTGTCGTGCCCTCTGTCCACAGGAGTGGGTCACAGAACACAACAATAACGGATGACGATTTCGACCTGGAGTTCATTGCACCACTACATGAGAGAAGCAGAGACGGGGAGAGGGATACAGAAAGTCTGTGCGCCAGATCTTGAACAGGGGGTGGGGGGGGGGTGCGAGGGGGGGGGAGAGGTGGTGAACACAATAGTGTGAATCAGAAGGTTCATTACGGAATCAGTGAATCAGAAGGTTCATTACATAAGGTCACGGTCATTGCATATGAGTGAGAGAGAGAGAGAGAGAGAGATAGACTATGTATCCCCGTAGGCCGTGGTCACCGCGGGCATGACCGCGGCCCATGCGGTCGACCGCGAGCCCGCGGTCATGACCGCCGCGGCCGCGGTTGAAAAAGGCTCGCCGCGGGCGAGGGGGAGGGGGTACTGGAGGTCGGGGTCGGGATTCCGGGGGTGCACCCCAGGCCCCATGCCCCCGCATTGAAAAAAAACCAAAAAAATTAAAAACAGGGGGGTCCATTTTAAGGGGGGGGAGAAAAATAATAGACCCCCTATCGTTGTTTTTTTTTTT